CGCGCGCCCTGCCGTGCCCCAGCGCTCCCTTGGCGCAGGACTTGCCTGGGTCGTGGTGCTGCCTTTGTCCTCGGGCCGCTTGCCTGTGTTACCGTTCGTACGGAAGCGTGGCATGACCTGAGGTTTTGAGTTGTTCTCCTTGACCTCTCTTGTGCTGTCTCTTGCAGCAAGGCTCGTACACCTCAAGGAGCCTGATGTGTACGTGGTGCTTCTGGCTGCCGTGCCATAAAGTAGAAAGAAGAGCAGTGACATTATTTCCTTCCTGCAAGCAAACTCTGATTGCTCTCCGCTTGTTTCCGAATGATTCAATTGCAAAGCTCACGTGCTTTTTCCAGGCTCTCTTTATTAGACTTAAAGCTGGATGTGTCATTTGTGTCTTTTTTTTTTTTCTTTTTGGCTGCTTGACCTTCCAGGAGTAGGTGTAAGTGGTTTCATTTCTGCAGCATACAGCAACTGAAGGAACCTTCCTGCCTCTCAAATCCATCCAGACTCTTGTCGAACCGCATGTTACCTTCTCTTTGGTTCTCTGCTTGTTCAACTTCCCTCTATTTTTGTAATTGCCGTATTTGTAACATACTCAGGGAAGTGTCATACTTGCAGTTTGTATGAGACCTGTAGAACAGAAGTCATGTGGCAAAAATAGAGGTTATATTAAATTGTCAAAAAAAGGCTGCCAAGTGCCATTGCAAAACAATTGTACACAAAGTTTGATTTGGCAAGGCTTTGAAAGCCTTTATTCTTGCTGTATTTTGTCACATAGTCTAACTCGTTAGTTCTCTGTGGTTGAACCTGAAATTTTGCATGTGTCTTCATGTACAGTTTGAAGTACATGAACCTTCCAATGTCTTAAAAAACAAACAAGCAAACAAAGCCAATAAAAACAAATAGTTCAATCATTTAACATTGCAGGAAAAAAGTCCCTGAGGAAGTCTTAAGCTGTTGGTATACCCTCTAATGAGGAAAAGAATAAGATGCTGCTTGCTAAGATTTCTGTAATCTGCACTTTTCTTTTTTCCAGCTTAGGGTGCTGTGAAGAAGTTGGTAGGTGGTTTTATTGCTTCTTGAGTAACCTGCAGTGATACTGATGCCCTTTTCAGGATAGGGTGTGGGCCAACGTGGGGAAGAGCTTAAACTGCGTCATTGCCATGGTGGACAGACTGCTCGAGAAAGACAACAGCAGCAGTAAAGAAGGTGAAAATGCCCCTTCGCCAGCAGACCGCAAGATGTCACATGAAGGTGGTAAGCACCCTGTTTGCATTGACTAGAGTTAATAGAAATGGAAGAAGTCACAGAAAAATCACCAGTCTCTTGGACAGGAGTACCGATAGTGAGGTTTTGCACAGTCCCAGCCTTGAATGATGAAAGGCTGTTTATCAAATTGCATCTCTGTTGTGCACTTAAACTGTTTGCAGTGCTGAATCGCTTGTGCTACGTGAAAACCCTGTGACAGTAAGGTGTTTTCTTTTGAAGGTTGATGGAGTTTAGGTTATGCTTGAATATACCATTTTGGGCGGCGGGGGGGAAGGTGGATCTTAACCCACTTTAGGGAAACTTTAAGGAAAGGTAGGCATTCTGTTTGAATATCTGTCTTCGGGACAAACCCCCTTGCTTTTCTGCAAAGGGTTACTGAGTTTTGTTTTCCAATTTGCTTAAAGTGGTTGTTCTGTGAATGCCGAAGTTGGTTTATGTTGGTACCGAATGCTGCACAGGGGATGATTCCACCAGCTGATGGGAAGACAACTGTGGCCCCAGCAGGACCTTGTCCCCAATCTTGTGACCTTCCCTGGGGGTGGGTTCCTTGTAGTCCTCACCCAGTACAGATGAGTCGATCTGCTTCATGTATCTGAAGAAAGACTTCTGTGCGTGTGTGTACTGCAAGAAAGGAGATACACTCAGAGTAGTAGACAAGTGCTGAGAACAGCAGAACCAAGACTTATGCTACTCCTCAGCAAACAATCAAAATACAACCCATTTTTTTTCTGTATTTTCTGGGTTTTTTTCCTTTGCAGTTTTTTCTTTCCCCAGATTTTCATGACTTAACTTTACTCTAAGGCTTTTAAGCTTTTCAAACCTATCTGTAATTATTAACTTTAATTCCAAATATACAGCAATCTTTTTCATCTATGTATCATTTGTGGATTAGTGTTAAATTTTTCACACCAGACTTTAGGTGCAAACTTTTTATTTTGGGGGTTGTTTTTTTTTTTGTTGTTGTTGTTGTTTTTTGTTTTTTTTCCTGTAGCTAGTAAGTCAGCATATCTACCAGTAGGAGAGATTTGTGCTGGGGTCCTGGTATTCCTATTTTCCCATCTGGATGTGTTGGATGGCTTTTTAATCGTGGATTTTTTTTTCTTTTTAATGAATAGTCTAGAGACAGAATGTTGTTTTTATCTGTTTCTGCGAGTTTCTACGTACCAGGAAAGTATCCTTCATGCTAGAGAGATTCCCCCCTGCATTTTCTGTTGATGGCTGGCAGGTTCTGAGCATGAGCGTAGCTGGGCTTTCTATAAGGATTCTCTGGTTTATACTTCCCTTAAACAAGAAGGTACAAAATTCTCAACAGGAGGGCGGGAATAGTTGTCAACTTGCACCAGTTCTTAAAAAGTGAACCCAAGCATTCTGGTTTTGATTGCAACAATGAGACTGTTTTTTTTGTTGTGCCCAACTGTCCTCTCTCCCCTGAGATGCTGCTTACTGAGTGTTTCTGCTGTGATAAGATTGCAGATTACGGGGACGATGGAAAGTGTTTTGCAGGGAAGGTGCTATGCTTGCACCTGAACCTCTTCTCCTGTGTTACCTCTGTGTGTGTCCACATGTACAGTCTGTATTGAGCAGATGTCGAGCATCCTTTTAGTTATGGAACAAGATCTGACACTGAATATTGTTTTTCCAACCTGGGGCAGGAAAGAAGGTGTGATTTAGGGTTATACTTTTCCTTCATTTTGCATGCTCCCTGTCCATAAAAGCAAGAGGTTGAAAAGATCAGCCACGTGAAAGCTTCAAACAGAGATTCCTGGTTTTCTGTAAGTCTCTTCAAGCCCCTGTATCTTTGCCACGTGTTTCAGTATAAGCCGTGAGATGTGTTTAACCAGCAGCAGTCCATTTGTGCTGTACATTGTTCTTGCAGTTGTAACAAAGAGAAAAGGGTGCTCTTAGCTTTGATTCAGGCTCGCACTTTATGCTGGCAACTGAAATATTGATTAGAACTTTTAGCTCACGAAATCAAAGGTACTTCAAGTTACTTCCTTTTAAGGATTGCAGTAAGTGGCCATCAAATAGACTGAAAAATAACACTTGCTAAGCGATGATGGTGATTGTAGTGGTGAGGAATTGTAGGAGACATGTTTTGTTCAGCTGAAAGTTTATTTTCTGGAGCTGACAGGCCAGGGACACAGAACACATCTAGGTGTTATGGCACGGGGATAAATTTTTCTCTTAAATGTGCCCATAATTGCAGGATCTTCCTGTAATCCTTCTGAACGAGCAGAAGTGCCTTTCGGGGAGCAGCACGGGTGCTCGTGCGGAGCTGTGCTGCGTGCTCGGCTCGCAGGAGGGAATCACGGCCGCTTCGGGAGCTCCTTCCTTCCCCCTCGGCTTTTTGTGGAAGGCAGCGTGTCCCTAGGGTGACTGCACACGGCTCGGAGTTGCCTGTGGCAGCCCAGAGGAATTCCGGGGTCGTATAGAAATGAAAAGGCTGCAAGTGGCTTTCTGTCAGAGGACCCACTTAAAAGATGGACCTTTCTGAAGGTTTGTCTGGGTGTGCCGCAAAGCTGCTTGCCTCATGGTTTTCCAAAACCATTGGCATTAGGACCAGAATTCTTCACTTCTGACTTGGTAAGCAGGTGTGGGCTCGTGTGCTGGCCCGTGTCTCCGCATGGCTCCCTTGAGCCTTTGACAGGCCATGCGGGGAGCGCGTGGGACAGCGCCTGGACGGAGATCAAAACACTAAGGCAAGTGGGTTATACATTCCCTCTTAATTCTAGCCCGTTGTGCATATGAGGTCTGGCTGCCTGGGTTGGTAATCTTTTCTTAGATACAAGATGGCAACAGCCCTACCCGTAGGTAGAGCTATTAGAGTATTTTGTGCATGCAGATTCGGGGGTCAAGCACATACAGTTCACAGCCATCGTGTGCAGGAAAAGCTTGCCGTATGTTGTGCTTGCACTGGAATCGTCGTTAATACGCAGCCTAGCTGAGTGATACTGAAAAATGTATGACCGCACATAGGGCACTGGATCTGAAACTGCCTCAGCCCTGGGGTTGGTCCTAAAAAAAAACTGTGCTACTGTTTGAAAGAAAAATGGGATATACCCAGGGCCTATAACAGAATGATATAGATGCTAAAAATGCATCACACATCCAGATAATATAAAAATGACTATTTTTGAGCAATAGCATATTCGTACTAATGAGGATGTTGTCTTAATACATGGTCAGCACTTGCTAAGATAAGTTTGTATTTTGGGGTTTTAAGATTGACGTTTCGTGATTTTTTTTTTTTTTTCCCCACCCCTGTCCTTTCCAGCTTGCTTTAAAATCTGAAATTTCTGCAACACATTTTCTATTGTACTTACCTTTCAATGTGAATTATACCCTCCTTAGCTTAACTTTTCATGCAACCTGACCTTTGAGTGTATACTTAGGGCTCCATTTGAGTTATCAGTTACCAAGGTAACGTGTTATGTTTCATCAGTTGCAGGATTATGATTTCTCTGCAGGATAAGTCAGGAAGAGTAGATGGATTTTAAAGGAGAGCTGTTCACCCCCCATCCCTTCCATTCTGGTACGGTCATTTACTGGGCTATAGGTAGCCCAGAATACAAGACTCACCACCTCTGTATTCTAAGGGATTCAGCTATTGATGGCAACTTGAAGATGGCCAGTGTGAAAGGGAAGGGAAGAGCACTTAATTGAATCACCAGATTTTTTTTTCAAATATCAGTTACCAGCAAATCTAGTTTCACAGCATTCCTATAATAAGGTTTTTCACTGCTCCTTTGTTTCGAGTATATGAAACTTGGGCCTTAGACATAAAGGCCTTATCTTCATGTCTGTTGTTGCCATCACCTTCTGTTCAATTGTAACCAAAGCTGCTGAGACACTTGAGCGTGTATATATGATGCCGTGGTTTCAGTTTTCACCCTTGACTGGTGTGATCAAATTTGAAGTCTCAGGTGATCAATATGGAAAAATAAATCTTCAGGAATTTAGGATTATTCCCCATGACGCTGAAGCTGTGCAGTCAAGGTAAATCGTTATTATATTACCTGCAGAAATGCCAGGAAGGCCTGTTCAGGCTGGTGGTCCTCTCCTGTTAGGATTAAATTTCATCCCTTCGCAAAGAGTTTAGCTCTCACCCCTGACTTAAACTGAGACCTAGCTGGGAAAATGAAGAAAGAGGAAGCCAACCTTTTTGTGGTGCAAGGTCAAGCCCCATTTAAACTTTTAAATTTGTCTTTAAACCAAGATTATTGCAGCTGAGTGGTGCCGTGCAGCTCGGGTGGCTCAGGGTGTGCAGGGTAATGGCTTCGTGCTGCTCGCGCAGGCCACGGCGGAGGCTGCTCGACTCGGCTGGGCCGCTTGGTTCCTCTGCCTGCCTGTTCCTTTAGGACGCTGATGGTGTCTAAATGTCGCTTTCTGATGTGCAGCCATCAGCTTATTAGTGCGTTTGACCTCTCGTGCCCCCATCCTCTCCTGGGTTATTGGTATGTCCCTGTGCTACGGGAGGTGGGGATTTGCTACAGGAAATAGCTTGTTCTTGAAGTCTTGGGTAGCCGCCGCTGCCTTTGCTGCATGCCATCTGCAAAGCCCTCTGGAGCTGGAAGGGCAGGAGACTGCTCGCTTCTGCTTCTAACTCTGTTTTTAGTTTTTGCCTTCATATCATTTACGCTTCAAGGTAACTTGAAGTCTTGCTTTTGCTTTAAAGCTTTTACTGACTTTTAGATGGGAAACTGTGATAGAATTAGCTCCTTTCCTTCTCTGTCGACAGGGTAAAAGTAGAGAAGAGTGCTACTGCAAAACCTTAAGATATTCTCTATTTGTTTACCAGCATATTTTAATAAACTGCTCAACGCACTTGATTTTGAAAAGCACAGGAGCTTGCTTTTGTGCCAAACTTTTTATTAAATTTAACTTGCAATTTGGCATATTGGCTTGGATATTATCATGTAAAAGTTGCCAACTGGATGCTAAGCAGATCATTTGCTTGTGTAGGCATGTAGGTTAAGAGAACATATTCCAGCACCTAAAGAGCAAATTGCACCAGAAGCTCAATTTCCACAGGTTATTGTTAAGACTGGAAGCAGAGGATCTATTCTGTGCTTGTGCTGCACATGTTCTCTTAATCCCACACTGATTGCATAGGGGTAGCATTTCTTCTCTTAATTCTTCCCTCCATTGTCCATGATAATGGACAGTGACTTTACTACTTGGTTTTAGTTTCCTTTCCAAAGGCTGGCTTGGATGATTTTTAGCTCTTCTTGCTTCATCATTAGGCTTTAGGATTTTTTGCTTAGAAGCCAAGTATTCCAAACAGCCTGCCCTTGTCTCTTAAACTGTAGTCTCCCTGTTTCTTGTCTCATTGCTCCTAGTGTCCTCTCTGAAACAGTTACTCATTCAGTTCTTCGGTCGTTTCTATACTTCCTTACTTGGTTCAGGATGCATAACTTGGAGTTAAAAGAAATTTGAGATCCGAAAGGTTAGCATTTATGTGAGCTCTTGCGTGTGTGAGATACAAAAATTATAATTTGCCCCATTGCCTTCACTCTCTCTACCAAGCTATCATCGCTCAGTATAGGAGTCCAAGGCCCAGACCTCTGTGTGCCTGGCTGGATTTTTGGAGCCAACTGCAGGTTTCCTTGTGAAGGAACAACTGTGGGACACCCTGCACCTCTCCCACAGCCCAGCAGCATCTTCACCCGCCAGCAGTGTTGTGGCAAGGTGTATCAGAACAATCTCAACGGGAATTTTGGACAGGTTTTAAAACACTTTTTATAAACATAGTCTCTTTACAAATTTTGTTTATATTCCAAGTTTATCCAGGCATACCAGGCAGTTACACTTTCTGTATGCTATTCCATTCATAGATACTTTGTTTTCAAAACTGGATAGCCTGTTCTAATTTTATAATGGGGAATAGTAAATAACACAGCAGTCTGACTTTTAGACTTGCTAACTAGCTCCACCTTCTGGGAATTGAGCTTCTTTGTGAATTGTGAGCAAGAATTTTCAGCTTAGGCAAGGAGTAAGATGACTGTTAGGGATAATTTAATTACATTTGAGTATATCTTGCCTCCTGTTAATCCATTCTATAAGTATTACATACAAAAAAAAAAAAAAGCCCAGATTTTTTTCTTTAGCCCTTAAGGAAGGTGTATTACAAACCTTTTGTTTGATTTTTATTTTTGGAAAACTGCTATTTTAAGCATAACTAACCAGAATTGAGGGCAGTCTTTCTCTAAAGCAAAAGATCTACGTAAGTAAAGACTTCTACAGAGTAATGTCGTGGCGTTGTATTCTTTGGAGTATTAGATATTAATTTACCTTCATAAATTTATCATGGCAGTCTGTTAATAAGGGGAAAAAGCCTTGAGAATTTCAAAAAAATTGAACCCTTTAACAATCCCCAACTAACACTGACAAAAATTACTAATGTTAGTAATATTATCAAATATGCCCCATTTTTGCTTTGGTACAGTAAGATATTCTAAACACAGTTTTGCACAAAATTCTTACAAGAAAATCATCTTGAAGCTACTGCAATGTGTGTGCAAAATAATTGGGGAAAAATGTAGTGAAAAGTATTTATCAGTGATTTACTACCAACCTGGAATCTGTATGAGAAAGAATCCACTTATGTTTATTCTGAGTCTGGTGGTATTGAATATTTTCATTAATGCCTTGGATGACAAGATACAGATAATGCTTATAAAATCTGCTGATGAAACAAAGCTGGGAGAAGCTTTAGGCACTGTGAGAGCAGGATGAGAGCTCGTCTTGATGAAGTGGCATCACAGGGTGAAGCTGAGTAAGGGCAAAGTTTGGTTCTCAAAGTAGCAGAAATACAAGATGAGGAGTGACTGGGTAAGTGGCAACTCAGTAGAAGAAAAATATGTGTGGTGTGAATTGTGGCTGGCCTGTGACCTGCTTTTTTTTATGAAAAATGGTAGTCTGTAATAGTCTTTAGCCCTGAAGCTGTAATGGGGTCAGAGTGGAAGCTAGTTATGGAAATTCATTTTTGTCTCTTGCCCTCATTGCCTCCTGGCAAGATCCACAGTTCTGTCTGTGTCCAGGTCTGCTTTGCCGTGAAAATGGAACAAATGGCTGTTAGCTGAACTTTCATGCCTGCCTTGAAGTGACTAACTAGAGTCATTTTCAAGGCTTTCTCAAGTTCAAAAATAGAATATTGACAACAAGCTCCATTCCAATCACATAAGCCATCTCCACATGATATCTTTTAATCTTTCTGCTGTAGTTGTTTTCCCTGGCACTTACTTATTGATTGATTTCTTAAATTAGTATAATTTAAGACTGGAAAGTGGAGTTTACGTTGTCTAGTCTGACTTGCTGGCTGTCACAAATCGTTAAGTTCGAGCTGAACAAGTTTTGTTTGCGTTTTGCTGAAGTGCATCTTCCAAAACAGTGCTCTCTTTCAAAGACATTAAGAGATGGAGAATCTGCCACTTCCCTCAGTACTTCAGTTTCTCATTGCTAGAAGTATCTGCCTTATTTCTAAATATTTAATGTCTGGTACTAGAGTAGAATAGTACTAGAATGTCTAGTACTGGAATAAAGATCACCTCAACACTTGTTACTTGCCCCTCACGAAGAGAAGGAAAAAAGCTGCTGTTCAGTCTTTTTGATAAAGAGATCAGACTCAAAATCTTGGTAGTTCTCTTCTGCACACCCTCCTTTTTTGAGTAATCTTTTTAAAAATATGTCCTCTTTTAGTCAGTGTCAAATACAAAATCCCCTCACTTTGCTTTAGCATGAAACCGAGCTTGTGTTCTGTTTTACTGCCAATAGCCCCAACTTGTTTTTTTTCATTCTTGCTGTTTTTCAGGGAACAATTCTCCAGTTGGTGTTTCTTGCACCTCAATATGTATTACTAAATTAAAACACGTTGTGTCTGACCACTAAGTGCTTGCAAAGCAACCTAAACTGCTCCGACTGCTCTGAACTAACCCCTACATTTTTATTAATTTGCCTTATTTGTTGCAGCTTCTGCTAGCTTTCAAAGGTCTTTCTAGCCTGCTTTGGGGGGCAGAGGGAGTGGTAATTTTATTCTTTTCTGTATTTTCCATAGCACAGGCAAAGCAACCTGCATTAGTAATGGACAATATTAAGTGAGTTTCACTCCGTACATGTAATTAAGATTCTTCTGGGCATGTTTATTTTAAACTGTAACAATATACTAAAGACATAGAAAATATTTTGAATTTTTTTTTTTTTTGGGGGGTTTTTTTTTTTTTTTTTTTTTTTTTTTTTGCTTTACTTAAAGGGATCAAAACCATCTGCAATGTGAATGAAGGTCTGTTTTTATTAAATCCTGAAAAAAAAACCAACAGGGATAGACTTATAACCAGACCAGCTATATTCTAGTTATCCTTCCTAGTTATTTTTTTCATTTAATTTTTAATGTCCTAAGGAATCTCGTGTTTCAAGTGTTTCACTAGTCTATTTTCATGGTATTCCTTAACATTCACCTTAACAATAGAGCAAAACAGATTACAAAATAATTGTAAGTCTGTCTGCTCAGAATAACTCAAAAAAATGAGTTCAATATCTCTAAATATTTAAAGAGAAGAATATAGTGAGAAACCAAAAAAGAAAGGGAATGTGACCTGAAGGTTGGTATCTTTCAAGGCTGTATATTAAGCAGATAATATTCTTCCCAGATGGCTGCTTGATCTTTTGTTTTGCCTTCCAGCACCCAGTTGTTCCTCAGTATGGGCTCTTGCCCTGCTCCTGCCTGCCGTTTATTTGCTTGGGTAGCAGGGTGGTTGTTGGTGCTGGGAAGAGCAGGAGATCCTCCTCTCAGCTGTGTTCACCTTGTGCTACGTGGCTTTTCCCCGTGTGCTGTGTGAACGGCGCTTGGGTGTGAGCTGTGCAGAGTTGCCAGGTTGGCCTTAGGAAGCCACCGTTCTGGGATATTTGGGTGTCTAGGCCAAGGCCTTAGCTGCAGCCTTGGTGTGAAGCTCTGATCCATGCTCTGGGTGAGCCCTGGGTGGCACCACGGTGCCAGTGAGAAGCGCTGGGGACGCGTGGGCGCGGGGAAGGCCCCTCACCGGGCTGGCAGGTTTCTGCGCAGCCTTGCAGCCCGTGCTGTGTCTCGTTCCAGGTGACTGGTATGAGCAGCTCTATCCCCTCGTGGTCACGCTCAAGGACTGCATGGGAGAGGTGGTGACCAGGGTGAAGCAGTCCATGACGTTCGTCCTGCTCCAGGAACTGGCGTGTGGTCTGCCCCAGTGTCTGATGCTGACCCTAAGGAGAGACATCGTCTTTAGTCAAGCAGTAGGTCATCTTGTGTCGCTTATTTCCCACTGTGGGGCCCTTAAAGGTTATTGACGTTGCTAAAATGCAGTCCATGCCAGGATTTGAGGTGCTGGGGGGTCAATTTTAAGCAATTTTATCATGTATTTGGCACTACATTCACATAAATATTTTATACTGTGAAAGAGAAATGAATAGTAGATGAAAATTCGGTAAGTGAATCGGTGAGTCACAGAAAGGCTGGAAGGGACCAGAAGAGATTACCTAATCCCTTCCATCTGCATAAAGAAGGGTCCACACAGCTATTTTTAGTCTTCCCAGGTCCTCTATTCCAGTATATTCCAACTCTCCTCCTCAGGATGCTTTTTTCTGAAGTCCAGCATAAGTATTTCTAGCTGCCATTTGAGCCAAATTTTTTTTCCCCCACTTGCCTTGAAAGTGAAGAACAGATTATTCCCTTTCAGTTTGCAGCAGTACTTTGTCTTTGAAGTCTCTTATCGCGTCTCATCTCAGACTTGTCTTCACTCGGTAAATAACTTAAGTTCTTCCAGTCTTTCTCTGTAGATTGTGCTTTCCAGATAGATAGTTTCTAAATGATCGCTCTAATTTCTCCTATAAGCTGCATTGGTTTTCTGTCATAACTTAAGGAGTTAAGGTGGAGCTACCAAGCAGCTCTGGTTGCATTAGGTGCCTTAACTGCTTTTAAATCCCTCAGAAGTCACAGCCGTGCTGGTTACTGCCTTGCCTGGAGAGGATCTGATCTCACTTATGCCAGTGCAATTCACACATAATCCTAAGAAACAAATGAAACTTCTCTGATATAAAATAGGGAAATATTTTACTGACTTTTATACCACAAAATGCATCAATAACATTTTAATAGGAGGTGAGGGACATAGCCACTGAATATCTCTGTTGTTTTCTGAAATATCTGAATGTTCTTGTGTTTGTACAATGATAGGAAGCCTTATTTTAATTATAACTCCTATTCATTTCACACTTTTTTTTTTGCTGTCGTTAAAGCTTGCTGGATTGGTCTGTGGCTTTATAATCAAACTGCACACAGGTTTACACGATCAAGGCTTTTTGCAGCAGCTTCATACCGTTGGACTGCTTGTGCAATATGAAGGACTCCTTAGTACATATAGTAAGTATTGCACTTGAGCTATAAGATCCTTACACATGCAAACTAGGTAGGAAGGTTCTTTTAAGATGTATCCCACTCACATTGATATAGTGCTGCGTGTCAATTCTGCATCCAAAATTAGTCATGTTTGGATTTTTTGATTTCTTTGAGAACGCTGATTGTTCCACCGAGTGTGCTGAACTGCTCTGCCTTCCATACACCACGCTAGTTTCATCAGTGCAGCTAGGGGAGTTCTTGTTCTTAATTAATTTAGAAAAGCCTATGCTTGTGTACTCATTTAGCCTGACACATATCAGGTTTATAAAGGTAATGCAAATAGCAGGTTTAAAGAGCTACCAACTCTGTAAACCTTAGCCCTACCACTTCTGGGAACCACATGTCAGTGTTGGTGATGTGAAGATAGCCTGAAAACTGTTTAATTCCCAACTTGTTACAGATGCCATCCTTTGATAGCTATTTGAAAGCATGTTGGGAGAGAGCAATTGCAGTATGCTTCAAAATGCTTTGAACTAAGTATATTGAAATGCTTCCCCCAAATGGAGAATTTGACCAAAGTAGTGGGGTTTAGGAGCTGCTTGCTCTGAGGCAGCTGCCAGACACCCTTTTGAGGTTGCTGACTCTTGCTCTAACAACTTTCGTTCTCTAACAGGACAGTCTTTAAAAACACTTTCAGAATGGAGTTTTTTTTTTTTTCTGAAAAAATATTTTTGTTCTATGCCTATATATAGCAGGCTGATTTTTCTGGAGTGCTCAATTCTCATAGCTATCACTTGGGCTACAAAGAATTGTGCACAGTTTTAAAAATCAGTCTGTTTTCATGTAGGTTCCTTCAGGGTGGATTTAGGGGCATTATTTTAGATGCACAGACTGGAAAATACAACCCTTGTGTTGCCTTACTATACTCTGTTTGGTCACTGATCAATCACTCTGTTAACCTCTGTAACCTTTCTGTGTAGGTGAAGAGGCAGGTATGCTGGAAGACATGGCTGTGGGAATTTCAGATTTGCAGAAAGTAATGTTTAAGATCATTGAAGCCAAATCAGAAGATTTTTTGCCTATTATCACTGGAAGGCGGTAAGAATTTTCTATTTCCTAGAGCTTGGAGTACGTGGAGATCTAGATACTGGTTTTCTTATTGCTGAGTTCTGTAATATGGAATGGTTTTGCTTTTTATCAGGTTAAGAGAATGTGCTTAAGATTGAGAGAACTTGTATTGGGGGCTCCCTGCTACTTGTCTGATGAGGATCTTAAAGGTTGCAATTGTTAATACAAACTAATTGTAAAAGTTTCCTACTTGTGTGCTGAGTTTTGTTGCATCTTGCATATCTGTACACTGAATCACAGAAAAGAGGCAAGGTTGAGTTTATACAAGTGTCCTCTAACTCAAGGTACTTTGGTTTTGAGGTGTCCAGAACTTATATTTCAGTGTGACAAATGGCATAGCATCTGCAAGAGTTAGGCCTTGATTGTCTGAAGATGGGAACTGGAAAATTAGGATGCTGAAAATTATGGCAATGAAGCCAACTTGTTTGCTGCAGGTCATACAGGAAATGTAGTACTTAATCTTTGCACAAAATGACTGACAAATTCTGCATTTTATGTGAGCAATGCTGAGGACCAGGACACAAACTGAAATACTTCATTAGCTGTGGTCATGATAGATAAAAGATGGTTACACACGTAGCGAGTGTGTTTTTTGTCTTTGTTCTAGTCTGAACTTCCAAATGTTCTTAGTGTTGCAGAGCACATCCCTGATAGTACCATTATTCCTAAAATGACTATAAATTGAATTTGGCTAAAAGCAGCAACTTTCAGAAAATGTTTTCTCTGAAGGTAGCATTCACCACTAATTTACTTAATGATTCTGGATGATTCACTTTCATCCTATGTGCCTTCTGAGAAGAGATTGAAATGAATAGCAGGAAGCCTAGCATATGATTGGTACCACATTGGGGAATAATTAAGAATAATTATGGTGTTATAGTGAAGGGGGGAAAAAAAAGGGAAAAACAGCAGAAATGCATCCTTTGTAAGTCACACCAGTCAAAAACCTTGAAAAATCCTGCAGCCGCAGTTGCTGGCTCGCTGCCATGGCTGTGGTAGCTGAACTGTCACACCAGGAGGTCCTGGTTTTCAGAGACTTGTGCTTTTAGCTGCCTCAGGCGTTGTGGATTGATGGAGCAGTCAGTCTTTGGGGAGAAGAGTTGCTGCCCGTGACTGCTGTATGGGACGTGTGGCAGGTATTCACCGAGCACTGAAATGGTAGCAGTGGAAAAAAATCTGTAAGGCTCGTGTGGAGACTCATTACTGCTACGGCTGTGACGAGACAGCTCCTGTCAGGGAGCTTTGGAAATGAATCATGAAAGGAGAAGGTAGTGGAGCAGCTAACTTCTCAATTTAAGGTTTTGAAAAAATCATAGTTTTCAGATCATTTCATTTGTTGTTTTGGGAGGTGATTTTTATACAGCAAAGTGCGACTTAAATACTGCAGAAAGTCAAGACAGAAAATTAATCTGCCAGTTGCTATTTTTCAGAGTCAGAGCATTCACTTGTAATTGGCTTTCCAGGGAAGTGCTTAAGCCCAAGTCCTTAATGTCTAAAGGAAGTGGATGAGAGGGGCCTGGCAGTGAGCAGCCGTGTGCCGACCTCTTGCCAGGCTGCCTGGCCTCTGGCACACAGGCAGGGTACAGGTCAGCTCTGGCATTCAGATCTCTTATGACACATGAAGTTTGCCAACATGTGTGTGTGTGTGTGTGTGTATATATATATATTTTAATACTTTGATAGGATTTATTTGATTTTAGTATGTTTGGAAACAAGAGTGCAATCGGGCAAGCCACTTAGTCACGCTGAAGTGATTTAAAAAGTTGTTGGTTAGAATCTAGGTGCGAAAAGCACCTGACAGCTGAGCAGGGGCGCCTCGAGGCCTGAGGATCACCCGCAGCCACAGTGAGGAGCTGAGGGCTGGGTCTCGGTGCGGCAGCGAGGCCTCCCCCGGGCTCCTCGTCATGCCTGGAGGTAACAAATACTAGAGTATAAGGGAAGTCAAAGACAGGGATGTGCTTAAGCAGTCGTGATTAGTGATGTGTTTAAATATGCGATGCCTGTATATAACTAATGACTCCTGAAGTAAACAGGGATTCATTATTACCCTCTTGAATACATCAGGTTTTTCACTACCCTCTTTTCTTCAGATATCATTAAAAGTTAAAAAGAAGCTGATTTTATGCCAAACCATCTTCTCACTGCAAAAGGTGGCAGCCTTACACACATGTCATGCCAAGGCAACCTAGTATTGTTACACTGAATCTAGCCATAAGCGAAAGTTGCATATGTGTAGCATGTAGCAACTGTACATGACAAAAAGTTGGTCTTTTATAGTTTCTTACGTAGAATTCTAGGACTTGTAAAGTTTGGGTGAACCAGTGTTTAATTATTTCTACAGATCTTGGTATTTGGATTTGTTTTTCACTGGACTTCACTACTACTGCTCAGCTCTCCCAACAGCTCAATAGCTTTCCTTCACAGTAAAATATATATATATTCTCCCAAAAATGATTGAAAATGTGATGTCATTGTGCAATTGGTTACACATTTTTAAAGTTAGGATGATAAAGGGATGGTACCCCTCAACAGATTATTCCTGAGACTGGAAAAGTAATGTGCAAAATATGCAAGGTGCAAGGGGAAGCCCTTAAATGCTACTGAAGTTCATTTTGCTTGAAGGTCAGCATTTCTTGGTGCTTTTCCACATGTTGAAAGATTTGTAGTGATTTGGCCGTTGAAACGTAGCAGTGCCTTGGTTTAGTGGCATTTTTGGTTCAGTGGCTCATGTTCTTTAAGTTAGACAAAGCCAACATTTCTTCTGGACCCCTGGAAGCTCTCCATCACACATGCACTCGGGCAGCGCCTGACAGCAGTCAGGAGGGTGACGTGTGGGCTGAGAAGGAATGTCACTAAGCCACGTTCACTTCTAAGGAGTTATTTTACTGTTGTCCTTGCTAACTGTGTTTCCTTCACATAGGTGAGTTAAATTGCTCACCTGAGACTTACCAGGGAGCAGAGCTTTGTCCATTTTTTTTTTTTTTTCCTTAATCCCTTTTCTGAGATGAGTTGCCTTATCCTTCATTCAGAACTAAGGTACATGCCTCGGGAGTGTCTGGCACTTGCTTTAAGATTACTTGCTGGTTTTAAACCCCACCAAGAAATATGCTATTGTGTTTCTATCCTAAATCCATGGTGCTAGACCAGCTTTTTGGTTCTCAGATCCACAGGCAGTACAGAGGTCCAGACACTGCCAGCAGCTCTCCACCCAGGGCACTGGGCAACCCAACTGGTCCTGGGTGTCCAAGCCAGGGCAGTCCTTCCTCAAGGATTTCTGCCTTTTCTCCCCCCAAGCTCTACCTGTGGGTACTCCAGCTTGTATTTTAATTCTTTGGCGAACACACAGGTAAGTGTTGGAGGAACTCTGATAGATCTTTTTAATAGATGGAAACTATATTCTTTAAGCAGCAATAACTAGGTTTTGCTGTTTTGACTTCATTTCTGCTTTTCCATTTTAAGAATGCACGTTAACAGCCTGTGTGACAACCCGGGCTTGGTGTCTGTATGCAGGGACAGGTCCTCTTCCCGGTGCGGCTGTAACACTTGCTCCTCTTGGTGGTCATCCATAAGCACTCTCTGTTGGTTTCAGTCTCCTTGATCATTGAGCCCTACTTAAATGATCAAAATGCAAGACCCTGAGGGCAAACGGGTCTGCGCTTAATCTGTGCTTCTTGTCCATTAGACTCTAATAATGGCAAGACAAAGTTAATACCAGGCTGTTGTTTCTATCGCATAGGGTCAGGGATCAGTCCTCAAAGGCAGGTAAAACCTGAGGGTTTCACAGTGAAGGTCATGAACAAAATTTGGACTGACAGCCCAAGTGAAATGTGTTTCATAAAGTCTGATCACAAACTCCAAACAAAAGGTGTTGTATCATATCGCTTCCAAAATAGAACTTGTCTGTGTAATGAACCTGTGCCTTTAATTATTATCTTTGTGGAATCAATTTTGGCATTGATGATGCTTTCTAATCATGCAGAGAAAATCCAGGCACTGAAGAAAATTGGAATTTTTTTCTGGATTTGATGCAGAAGTTTTGTTGAGTCAGGCCCATTATGAAGGATCAGGTTGTGGCTTCTTATAGCAGCTTTTTTAGCTCAAAGAAAATGCATATTAAGAATTGTGGGGTGTTCTCAGTGACATTTTCTTAGAGAGTGATAAAGAAGCACAGGAGGACTCCTTTTTTTTTTTTTTTCCCCTGCTTTCACTTTTATTCCTATTTTCATTTCTGCACAGAAGTCGGTAGCAAGGTAGAGAGTATGATTTTTACATACCTTCCTATTTCCATATAAATTTGTTATGCTCTTAAAACAACCAAACTGAATCCTCAGGTTTTACAGCTTAGCGCAATTAAAGGGAGCAAGGGAATTGATTTGTAAGCTTAAACCTTTGCTATGGCCTAGGACAGTTATAATTTAAAGAAAACAAATCAATATTCTCCTCTTTTTTTCTTTTTTCGCCCCTAGTGAACGTTATGTTATAGAGGTCCAGCTTCCAGCAAAGATGTTTGAGTTGCTGCCACAAGAGATTAAAGAAGGCAAGCTGCTTCGCATGTATCCAGTTCTCTTCAATGTTGGAATCAATGAACAGCAAACACTTGCAGAGAGGTAAGATGACACATTTAGAAAAACTCGTATTTCAATTTCTCGTTAAGGATGCTGTGCTAGCACATTTCTCACCAAATTACAAAACAAGCCTTTTTTTTTTTAAAAAAAAAAAAAAAAAAAACATTTATTATATGCTCTTGAACCATCTCAGGTTCACTTCATATATATTTAAAATGAATTAAAGGAAGTAAATACAAGGTATGAAGTAATGAAAAAATGAAAAATAACAAAAAAAATCAAATAAAGGTATGATATATGAGGGACTTTATTTCACAAAATTATGACCAACTTTTCCTTGGATGCAGCTATGAAAGGAATATCTAGTTCACAGAGGTAGAAGTTTATTAGTGTGCAGAATTTTGGCTCTTTGAAACACAAGTTTGAAAATTCATTTTTTTATTATTTTTTATTATCTGCCAGAGGCAGATCTGAAGTTGCCAGGCAAGTTTCCGACTGTAAAGAGAACATTTTTCTTGGTTTTGTTTTATCTTACAGGGTTGAGGAGGCATAGTTAATTATATGGAATATGTTAGTCATGTATTTCTAGAAACATGAAGGATGGTGTTAAAATTCCAAGGTGTAAAAATTACTTCTCTGGAAAGATTACTTGAAGTAGTTAATTAACCATTACGATTTTAGCCAAAGATTCATTATGGTATTAATTTTATCTCCTAAAAGAATGGTGTTTGTGGGTCATGTTAAATCTAGTTTGTGCAATGCTAAAACTGCAAGGCAGCTACTTTTGGTTACTAGTTTTAGCACGAGCATCTGAGACAAAGCACATACCTTTAGATGTCCTTCCGTACATCCTCAAAGCCAAAATGAATCCTAAGTGTGAGTGGGCAATACAGGGAGACAGTGGAAAAACAGCCTGGGTGGTAGACAACATAAGCCCAAGAGGGGCTTGACTTGGTGTTTTTTGTAGACAGCTGGGCAAAAGGCAGCGTTTTAGAAGTTCTAACAGATGCCATCAGGTAGGTTTGTAGATGTTTATGGGAGACTTTTCATAGTTGCCAGTGATATTTGGCATCCGAAGTTTAGAGCTTTGTATTTGTCTCTGACATTGGAAACATGGCATATAATCTCATCAAAACAGTATCTTTTGTTGGAGAATGAACATGACAGTAAAATACTTTGTGATAAATGGTTAGAATATGTTATTTTAGAAGATTCAAGCATCTCTGTATTCAGTAAACCAATAGCTGAGAATGTGATTTAAAATAAATGCCCTCATGTAGCAGGGCAGCAATACGTACTGGAGAACCAGCCAAGGCTTTTTCCCCGTCTGGCCTATTTTAGAACTCGATCCCCTTCTACATGCCGTAGCAGCACATTTGGTATCTTTGCATTGTTTCTCCTTTTGTCGCCTGAATTTTTCCTACCTGTCCATGTCTCTCTCTGCTTCTCCATTCTCTGAGTTTTCTCATCAGTTTCAGATACAGGAAAGCGAGGAAAATTTAACAGTTCAGGAGCAGTGTGGCATGTAAAGGGCTCAGTGAAGTAATCAGTGTTACTGTTTGTAGCATGTGTTTTCAGACCAGCAGACTCCTGTGGCACACAAGAGTTGGCTGGCAAGGGTTCCTCCTGATAGCTGCACTTCCAGGTTGTGTGACTTAGTTTCTGCCAGAGTCAGTAGATGATACCTAATAGAGCTGAGCACCAGCAGAGGGGAGAGACATGGGAGCTGTTACTCTCTGCCCATGGCTGCATTTGAAATGGTCAC